TGACTTTGCATGTGATTTGATTTGATAAATCCTCGGATTCTATCTGACTTCAAGGCTTAGAAATCTCTTAACGACTCTTTTGCTGGAAACCTTTTTTATAATGAAAGTGTGCTCTTGTTCTCAGAAAATGCTTTAAAATCTTGATGATTAAAATTCTAGATTGGCTTAGCATTTGTTTTCGCTATCACCCGAACAAAAAAGAAGATTTCTTGGATGATGTCAAGAAGGTACAAACTTGCATCAGGGAAAATCTAGACAAGTTTCCAAAGTTGAAGGAAATGCCTACGACTCCAAGAGAGCCTATAGCAGCTAGGACTGAGTTTAGAAAAAAGTTGATTGAAGAGCTCTACTCACACTTTAAATTTGATTGCAGAGTTCACAAGAGAAAAAATATGTTTGATTGACTCTGTTTCTCTAGTCAGGCAATGAATGTGTCTGTATGATGAGTGTTTATTATGACTCTATTTCTGTTTACTGTGTTACTTCTCTTGTTTCAATTGAAAATTTGGTGAACTATTATTATGTAATGAAAACTTTATGGTTTGTGGATGAACTCGAACTCTCCGGTTCTTAAAGCTTAATTAGCTTTAAGCTTAATCAGAAAGTTTATGTTTTCCTTCTATTGGTAAATTTCTCAACTTGCTGTAAGAATAATGAGACACTCATTGACTTGAAAAAGCCAAGAGAACACTCCCATTAATCAATAATAGATATTGAGAAGACTTATTATTCTTCCAATCCAAACCATATAGTAGCTTCGATTAATCTTCATTGTACTATTTTGACCAAAAAAAAATTTGAGTGTACCGAGTGTCAAGATTTAAGACTGGAGACTTTCTGACTCACAAGTTTTCTAAGAGCAAGCAACTTGTGATGAGTCAAAAAGAAGAAGAAGAAACACAAAATTCAAAAGGTTTTGTCCGTTTAAACTGATGACAATTGGTAAATAAAAACTCAATTATTTGGTTCAAGAGAGAGATAAAATTCGGTCATTATTGGTTACATTAATCTCTTAATTAATGAGTTGAAGCAAAGTCGTGAAGAATGCGAGGTCTTGAAGCGAGATGTTCTGAGTAGAGTGTATCGTAATGTTTTGATATCTTCATTTGTTGGATTCATGATGGTGCTTGGAGTCTTATTGGCAGTTTGGAAGCAGTAGTAGAAAAGCATCAGTACTTTAACCATTCTTATCTGCTAAAAGTAACCAATCATAAAAAAATAAAATCTAATATTCTAACCAAAATTCATAAATCCAGTAGGTATAATTTGGCCACATTGGGGGGGTTTTGGTTAGAATATTAAATATATATATTATTTTTTTTGGTTATACATCCTAATAACCCTAGTTAATAAAGCCAAAAACTCGATTTTGATTGAACGTTGATGTTTTCTGTTCAACTCATTAAAATATTACGCTCATATCTTCAGCATTGTCTTCATGTTCATTGCTCTTCTTCGATCTCTTGGGTGATTTCTCAACTGGCTGAAACAAGAAATGAGAAGAAAGTTGTACTCAGAGACCTTAAAAATAGCCATATGAGAAACTAAGGCCACACAACCATAATAGAAACTTACTGATGTTGTATCAAAGAGCTCCTCCAACTCATCGTAGTGGGTTAATCAACTACGATGTTTCATAGATATGTGCTTGACTATCAACTTCCGGTATCAGGGGTTTTAAACTTGATTACCCTTTTCTCAAGCATTCAATTCTGGTAACAGCTTCCATAGTTGTGGCTGGGGGAGGCGCGTTCTTTGCTTCCTCAGCCCGCTTTTGTCGCTTTTCCTTTTATCAAGACAAGAGAGAAAATACAAATAAGAGAACCATACTAATGGACATTATGCATATTATTCTTACTTTGATATAAAGCATGCATAAACATTACTGCAAAGTTTAGTCACCTTTCTAGATTTTGCCACAGATGCTTTAGAAGCTTCAACAAGATTTCTTGCGTATTCTGGGCAATTAGCATTGCTCACGTTGAAAGCTTCACTAGCTGCTTTCTCCTACAAAACAATATAATTTGGTAAGATTCTTATGTATGTAACAATTTACAAGGAATACAAGAGAAGATAAATGATATTGCCTATCACCTTAAGATACTCTCCGTATTCTAAGTCAAAATAGGTAGTCTTCATGCGCATTTCTTCCTCGTCGTTTAAACAGTTATCCACCTGGGACACAGTGAAATATTATGACCAACCATCAATTTGTAAAGTGAAACTGTTGTAAGGAAGTAAAACATTCTACCTAGAATCTAATACAACACAAGGAAGTAAAACTATTGCCCACCTCTTTATCACCATCGAGGTCAGAAAGATTGCCTGATTCATCTAAAGCTTCAGCATCCCAATCTGTTTCTCCTTCACTTTTCTCTGAAACACAGCACAAAAACAATTCTCAAGAGCTCAAACAATATATATATAAAAAAAGACTTTAATCTATTTCGATAGTTGTTCAACGTGGTTTAAGCCGCTATACCAATTCCTCCCTCGTTTTCTTCTCTAGCTGCTTTTTCAATTCTCTCTTTCTCTGCTCGCTGGAAAGCAGGAGGATCCGACCCACCAACAACTCCACCAGAAATTTTAATGAACTGCCGGAAAATTTTGGAAAAGAAAAGCATGAGCCATTTGTCAAGGACTCGCCAGTTGCATAAAATGGAAAGAGAAAATCCAGAGACTTACATCTTTGTAACAGTTCTTACATAATCCATAACCAAAATGTTCTAAACCCTTATGTTCACAGATCACTTCTCTTTTGTCAGAATCTTGTCTTGGGGTAAGTAAAGTTTCTTTATGCAATATCCTTTCTCTTTCAGTGAGCTCATCAACCTGGCCAAGCATGTACAACAATTGAAAAATCAATGAGCACATGTTGCATATGACAGCATCTAATTAGCGAACAACTCTACAACTAGAAACTCTTAGCCTTAGATTTGTAACATATCCTGCAAATGAAATAACTCACATTTAATTTTGCAGCATCGGTATTAGCAAACTCAATCAATCTTTTGGTTATTGTTGCTTCACACATATGCACAATTTTTCCCTGAAATATTTAGTAAACACATCAAAGGGCAGGGCAAAACATCGTTGCTCTCATCTATAACAATATTCTTTAACAGCTAAATCATATTCTTACAATATCTGTCCTAGAGCACATGATACCATGAGAAATGGCAGCTATGTAAATTGCTGCTCCACAGATTCCACTTGGTTTCCGGCCAGTCTGCAAGCCAATAGATGGCCAACATTAATAGAAGCCAGAATAGAAAAAAAAACAAACACTACGAGAAAACAAGTTATTTTCGACCACTTTATAATTGGTCTGAAAACTTTTTGACCAATTTCCGACCTTCTTCCGACCCTTATAACAAGTAGTCGGATTCGGTCGGGAAATGCCGACCAAATTATGTCGTCGAAAATTTGTTGGTGTTTCCCAACCAATTTTCGACCAATTTAGAGTCGTCAGCGTGATGATCAGAAAATGGTCAAAATATAGTCGGGACGAAATTCAAAATATAGTCGTTTTTAATGCATTTAATTGTGGTGAAAATTGGTCGGAAAGTGGTCGGAAAAATTTTTTGAAAGCCCGACGATATTCCGACCACTTCTAGAGCATCAGGTAATCGTTGGAATGTGGTCAGAATATCGACGGATATTTTTAAAAAAATATAGCCGTTTATGACCGTTGGAAAGTGGTGAGAGAACGGTCAGAATATCGACGGAACATTTTAAAATATAGCCGTTATGACAGTTGGAATGTGGTCGGAAAGTGGTCGGCACGTAACAAATCTGATTTCCAAAGTCAAAACAATTGTCTATATATATATGTCTCTTGTTTTAGATGTAGAAGAATAAAATTTCACAAAACTACAAAATGTCTTCTAATGCTAATAATTTTCGGGCAAGGATGTACAATAATCGGTGGGATTCAAATAGCGGACTATTTACAATAGAATTCGCGGAAGGACTTACGGAATTCATGCGCTTCGCTACAAACCAAGAGATTTATTTCGAAAAAGGTAGACTCTATTGTCCTTGTAATTCTTGTGGTAATATTCATTTTCTCTCGAAAAATGAAGTGTGGAATATTTGTATCGACATGGGTTTACGCTCAATTACAAGATATGGTATTTTCATGGAGAAATTGATACGGAAAATTTGCATAGTACTAGCGAATATGTTGCCGATAGGTTCGTGGAACCTAGAATGGTAGCGGAATCTAGCTGTACAATAGAAATGGTAAACG